TTACCTGACTACCATGAGGTAAAACTGTTGCTATGCCTGCCCCCAAAGTATTCCAACATTCCCATTGGCAAATTATTCCTAAATGAATTCAATGCTTCACTTCCAACTGGGAATCTTTATGGCTGGTCCCCAGTGTCTGCTCCACCTTAAATATGTAGTGGGAGGGAGAAGATGACTTGTCTAATAGGAATCACATCCGGAGCCCATGGAGAAGACCGCACCCCCGGAGGTCTTGGGCTTTGTGCTACACACGGGGACTAGATGAGAATTTGTATAGTCTGATTTGGGATGCAGTAACATATATTTTACATGCAAGAGTCTCTGAGATTATGTTTCCTAAGAAATGAATATTCAGTGACCTAGTGTCTCCTTTGGGCGGTTGGATCTATGGGAGGGGTCTGGCAAATGGAATGATAGAGAGAATGATGTAAATATCTGTAGATTGAGCCCTTAAAACCTTCTACATGTTCCCTCCCTTTGCTTGTATGACATCCAGGTTCAGAAGCACCATTAGACATGGAGGTCCACGTATGGAAGAAGCACAAGTCCCTAAATATTGACATGAAGCAAAGCCCCCATGCATTGGAATGGGGTATGGATGAGAAGTAAACTTTTACTGTGTTAACTTACTGTGATATCTTTGTTGTAGCAACTAACTTTATTTGCAGTGTCTAATTCAATATATGGGAGGGCTTTTGTGTGCAATGCCTTTGCTACTATAATCTGTAATATGTAAAACTTCAGAAAACTACAAAGCTATCCTGCTGAAGTCTAAAAATGTAGCTCACTCCCTAAACAATGTAATTAGGAAAATGGATTTAGGTAGCAAACATGCCTAATTTCTCATTCTAGCTTCTAGTCCCTATTAGTTTGAATGACCATTAGTAATTTATCTTTTTTGCTGAGTTGCCTAATCTGCATAATTGGGAATAACGATCCTTCATGGGCTATTTTGTCCATAATCTCCCTGCAAGTAATTTACCTCTTGGTAATTATCTATGCTAATCATTACTATGTTCATATATAAAATACTCAATAACTTATTTTTTGGTTGAGCGGGTTTTTAAAAAGTCATTACTATATATATTCTGTAGCCAAATACAGCTAATACAACATCTTATTAAATACCAATATGCATTCTACCTTTTTGAATACTTGACTCATATCATTGATGATATTGACTCTTAAATGTCACTGGAGAAAAGAAAACCAGAGTATGAATTGTTATGTCTTTTATTTTTGAAATTGATCATTCAAATATCCCTGTGCCTTAGGTTCAGGAAGTACAGTATGTTCTTCTTGAAGCTACCCGCTACCCTCCCCCTAAGTGTTGGAGATCTCAGGAGTTTTCTCAGCCCAGAATTGTCAGTCCCTTTCAAACACCAAGCGGAGGTTGAGAAGGGAATTCACTCCAGTGTTGCTATTTCCATTGATGGCCACAAGGGGGCACTGTTGATTTCCCCACAATGAAGCTTTTATTTAATCCTGGCAGTAAAGCCAGTATGTTTAGACTCCGTGGCCGCACAGACTTGCTGTCCCACATTGAGCATCTAATACTATATGCTTAGAATATATCCCAAAGCTCAATAGAGCTTCAGGATCACTATGTACTAAGAGGCTCCCCTGGTTTTATTTCATAATACAGAGAAAACATAGTTTTGTTTGCTCAACAATATTTAGGTCTTTGTTTTGAGCAATGGTCGCCAACACAGACTCTCTTTTTCCTCCAGATATTTAATTCCAGGGGACTTGTTGCTCTCTCTTGTCAGTAGGTCTTGATTTAAATCTGCTCTTTTCCTGAATAGCAGCATACAGTGGTTTCAAATATTCTTTCTCAAAAGGCTCTGTGTTCGTTACAAATTTCTCATGCAAATGTGACTGGCCTGCAAACCAGCCAGTGAGGTGAGTGGCTATTGGCAAGCCACTCCCTTCCCCTTCCTCATGTTCTTAATACACCTCCTTCCAGTACAATTGGACCATAGTCAGCTTATATTAGCAAAGTGACTCTTCACAGATTTTCTCAGTTAAGCTGACAAAACAACTGTACCTCCTCAATTTATTTTTTTCTTTCAATTTTATTGAGATGTAACTGATATACAGCCCCTTATAAGTTTAAAGTGTACAGCATAATGATTTTACTTACATTTGTTGTGAAATGATTAACACAATTATGTAGTTTAGTTAATAAACAACATCTCATACAAATACAAAAAAAGAGCCTTTTTCCCCTTGTAATAAGAACTTTTAGGATTTACTCAGCTTTCCAATATACCATACGCAGTGCTAACTATAGTTATCATGTTATAAATTACATCCCCAATACTTATAACTGGACATTTATTCCTTTTATACCCCACCAATTTAAAGTGCCTGAAGTTTATGTTAGTTCAGTGTATCCACTCGGGACAGTGTTCAAAGATTTCTACGGAGTTCATTTTTAATGCGATGGGAACTTTAAGCAGAGTTCTGTTTGCCCTTCCATATCTGGTTTCTTGAGTAATCCTGTTTCCCCATCACCTTTACCTGGTATGGATTCACCCCAAAACCTGCCTTAGGACCATTGTGACCACTTTCTTGACCATTCTGTGAGAAACAATGGTCTTAACTTCTCCCCCTTAGAACCAGAGCAGAGAGCCAACCTTAGGGATGTGGCTTGTCCATTCCTTTTATTTATGGCTCTACTACTATGAAACTACAGACCCATTGAAAACACTATTTGTCAAGCCTTCACTTAACCACTTCAATATGGTAAGTAAGAGAGTGTTTACTGAGCCCCTCAATGGGCCACAACTGTACTAGTTACTATGATGAATGATAACTGGTGTGCTAGTCTCTGTATATTTTACCAATCCCTGCAACAAGTTGGTAGTTTCTATTCCTGTGTATACCAGTTTGAGTAAACTTCTCATAATTATGTTGGCTATTTGAATTAATGTAGAGAAGCCAGATTCAGGAATTGGGATCAAAAATTAGAATCTATATTTTGATTAACTAACAAATTGCTCTTTGAGTCCCTTCTGGGTTTGCACCAGGGTGAAAACATAGCAGAGTTAGAGGAAGCACTCCTAGAAAGACCAACAGAGGGGACCAAATGTGTGAAAATATTACCTGACCACATGTATCATATTTTTATGAATTCTATCCTCTCTGCTGGATTTTAAAAACAAAACAAAACTCATAATCATCCACAGAAGGCTCTTTTGAAAATTAAAGATTATCATGCACAAACACTGATAGTTTACTAGTGCTCAAACACTTGAGCTTTTATTTTATTATGATTACTGTCCTTATTATCAATATATAAGGATACTGAGATTATTAGTATCATTTTGAGCAATCGGTGTTAAAATTGGCCATTCTGTCCTGGGAGGGACAATAGGAAGATGGTGATGGATAAAACTCTTCTAGCAGCCAGGAAATGTAGAGAAGCCCTAGTAGAGAATTCTCTTCTTTATATCAATGACAAGTATCAAGTCACACTTGTGGCTCTGGCTTGAGAAAATAAGAGCCAAGTCTGAGAACATAAGAGTATTAAAAGCCCCTTCTTGTAGACCAATGGGTGTCGTTTTCTTTCCTGCTGTTATTGAGTATGCCTTTGGAGAACCTGGAGCCCACACGAGCAGTGAGTTGCAGTTACTCTATCTAATTGCTAGTGTGGGGCAGTCAATCTCTATTCCTGCTGCCAACTTCATGCAAAATTTTTTCATAGTTATGAAAGTTGCCCCTGTGACATTATGTCTTGTCTCTTTGCCTACCTGCAACAGAGGACTTGATTCTGTCTCCAGTTCCCTGGAATGCATTGTGCACTGCAGGGCGCTGTTACAGATGTCACTCATGTCTTTCAAAGCTTTCAGACTCAACCATGAGGAACCATACAGTCATTAACTCCCATCTCTCAGCCTTAAAGCCTCCCATTCACAGTCTGCTTTGTGAGGCCCAGGCTGGTCTTAGCCCCAGCTCTAACGGTACCTCCTCAGAGTTCCTGTGACATCAGTACCAGTGGAGCCAGAGCCCATCCTCAGAGTGATGAGACCTATCCGTTCAGTGGGTTCTATGTTTTAATGACCCAACCTCTTCCTAAGTGTAAGGTTCTTCCTGCAGGTACTATCTCCATGTTACGCCATCCTCTTTTTTCCTGTTTCAATTCTCCAATAGACATTTAACCAATTGCTTACATTAAATTTTCTAAAAACAATGGGTGTGATATCTTCTCTCCTGACTTGCCCACTGTTATCCAGAAACCTGATAGTGTGCCATGCCTTCCCACCTTTAGCTAGAGTGCTTGGGCAGAGTCAAGAGATCAAATGAGACTAGATTTTCAGTTCACTCCATGGGTAACTCAAGCACATAGGGAAAGTGGCCAACTCACTGTTCTGGTCCGTTTCTCCATTTTCCACCCCATTGGTATCCTCTCTCTCCACCTGTATCCTCAAGGTAATAAGGTTGTGGAGGATAAAATAGAAAGCCGGTATTGTGTTATACCATTGTGAACACTCTTCTCCTGTGGTCCTGCAGATGGTTTGTTGGGCAGGACTCTGTCTTCTCTAAGAACACCCTGGCTCTCAAGGAAGTAAGTATAGGCAGGAAATACATATGGACAGCCAGAAGGACAATCACAGGCCAAAGGAGAGTAGGGTGGAAGACTGGTCTCCAGCTTCAATTGCACTTGATGAAGCATTTCTGTAGAAAGAGCTTAGACTCTATAGCCTGGATTTTGATATCTACTCTATACCTCTCCAGGTATGTGATCTTTGCTAGTTACCTCTCTTAAAAGCATTTTTTACTTTGTTAAATGTAAGTAATGATGCATTCAGGGATGTTGTGAAGATGAAATTACTTAAATATGATTGCCTAGGCTCAAAGCAGTTACTCAAGAAACATGTGTTTCTCCCTCTTGCCTAACTTCACCTGAACCAGACAAAGAAAATAAAGAAAGGTGTCTGGATAGATTATGAAGTAAGCCTCCATGTGCATAATAAATTCTCACTCACAGGCATTTCTAGGCATTGCTACCTAGGAAAATCACTAAGCAAATAGGGGAGAAGGATTTAGACACCTTTTCTACATATTCACATTTCTCTGTGCAGCAATTTCTGAATTCCTTGTTTTATCTCTTTGGTCCGAACCCCATATACAATGGGGTTCAAGGCAGGAGGTATGAGGTGATGAAGGACATTGAGCAGGATCAGGATGTCCATAGGGACCCTCTTTCTGGCCACATTTGTCAGCACCACAACCAGCAGGATGGTGCTAAAGAAGAGGATGAGGATGAAGTGGGAGCTGCACGTGCTCAGGGCTTTGACTGCAGCCCCCTTGGCCTTGAATCTAAGCACAGCTCTTAGGATGAAGGTGTAGGAGAGGAAGATAAGGATGAAATCTGAGCCCAGTAGGGTCCAGCCAGCCACAAATTGGTAGAGTCTGTTCAGGGTGAAATTGTCGCAGGAGAGCCTGGACACAGACAGGTTGGCACAGATGCAGTTCTCAATGACATTTTTTCCACAATAATGGAGCTGGGCAGAGAGAATAGGAATGGGTGCAGAGAGAAGGGCATTTCGTGCGACAATAAAGACACTAGCCTTGGCCACAAACTGATCAGTGATGATGGATGGGTATCGTAGAGGATGGCAGATGGCTACATAGCGGTCATAGGCCATGACCATGAAGGTGCAGGACTCCATGGGGAGGAAACTGTTCATGATGAACATCTGGAGGAAGCAGGCAGAGAAGCTGATGGACCTGAGGTCAAACCAGAAGATGGCCAGGACCTTGGGGATGACGGTGAGGCAGAGCACCATGTCCAGTAGTGAGAGCAGGCTGAGCAGGTAGTACATGGGCTCATGCAGAGAGGCCTCCCGTCGGATGGTGATCAAAAGAATACCATTGGCCCCCATGGCCAGGAGGAAGAGGAGGCTGAGGGGCAGGGACAGCCAGTGCTGCCAACTCTGGTAGTTAGGGAAGCAGATGAGGAGGAATTCGGAGACTGGGGCAGTGGAGTAGTTGCTGGGTGAAGCCATTGAATTAATCTCGAGCTGAGAAGGCTTCTCTTAACTCTTTGTACAGTCAGATGTAAGACATAATTTTTTAAATTGACTTCAAAAGTATTCCTCTCACTTACTCTTTAGGAAGCTAATCATATATAGGAGACTTCCCAAATAAGGAAAATTCCAGTCAATGTTTTATTTTGTTTTTAGTGCAATAATCAGGAATGGTTAATATTCAAAATGTTATCTGAACATCCATACACATATCATGTTGGTAATATGCCATTTAAATTAGACAAAGAGTGAGTAGTTTAAAAGGAGGGTGAAGACCTTTTGAGAGATCTAAGTATAGATAAAAAGGCATGTCACTTCCTTCCAAAAGAATTTTTCTTTTTCTTTTTCTTTTCCCTTTTGGTAGAGTGGTGAGACTTAAATAATGCTACAGTCTATGGAGGAAAAAATGGATACGTGAAATAATTAAATTTTTTAAAAAGGATAAGGAGTAATCTCACAGCATTAAGAGTGTTCAACAAGTTAGGTCAACATGGTACCAGTTTAAGAAAAGAACAATGTTAGTAGTATAAAGGAGAGAGGCTAAAAGCATTCCTACTTTGTATAGTAATCTCATATATGATGAAGGAGGCAACTAACCTATGGTGAATACGATGTTTTTTTAATGGGTGTTATTTAAAATTTTTAAATAAGTGTTTTGAGATAATTGTTGACATTTCAAGGGGGGAAAGCATCTATTTAGGTCCTCACCATCTACCATACACCAATATAAGTTAAGATGGATAATATTGTTGTATCCCCTCCCCAAACTTATGATAATCTAGATGAGAAGAGAATATAAATTTGCTTAAATTCAACCTTTGCTAAAATCCCAATACTATTGGAATATAACCATTTCTTTTCCCAGAACTCTTAGAATAAACCAACAGGAAAGGCTGATTGCACTATAAATTTATAGTTACCAACTTCAAATGGGCCCACAATATTTCCTGTCCATCCTACAAAGCTTTCCTAATCAACTCTTCCCTCTTGCCAAGGTCCTTTTCAACCTTTATTCTTTTCAATCCTTGAACTCTTCTCTTAGAAGGTGACATCAATTACTACCTCACAGAGAAAAGGGAATGTGCCCAGTGAGATTTTCTTCAACTTCCTAAGAGAAAAGTTACAATTTTACTTTCACAGTCTCCCATCCTTTCATTGCTTACTCACGTTAAATAGAATCTGTCCGTCCTCAAAATGTCAAACCTTCCATCTCTACGTTGACTCCTAGCCCTCCTAGCCTGTATTTATACAATCAATTGTGCATTCTAGTTCCCAATTTTGATTCATAGTTGTTTCTTTACTGAATCTGCCTTGTCTTTCAAACATTATCAGTATCTTTCATCTTTAAATATAAAAAAATTGGAAAGCCTCCTTTTTGCCTTTCAGCTATTTCTTTCTTTCCTTTCCTTCACATCCAAACTTCTCACAGCACTGTTATACTTACCACCTCCATTTCCTCACTGTATATCCATTCCATAACTCACTTCAATGTGGCTTCTTTTCCATTAATTTCCACAAAACTGCTCTCAAAAAAATTACTTGTAGATTGCTGAATCTTGCTAAAACAATTGACCAACTCCTCTTCCTTGAAACATTCTCTTTGACTTAGTTTGCATCCTGGTTTATCTCAGACCTCCTGGTCTCCTTCTCATTTTTTCTGACTTGTCTTACATCCACTACCTTGACATCAGTTTCAAGATTCAATCCTGAGTTCTCTTTGATTTCCTTTTCTCATCTGTGCTAGTCTGTTTTCCTCTTTCTTCCACTTATTTTCTCTGCTCTGTATCATCAGATAATTATCACCATCTCTATGTTGATTATTACTGAGTTATATACCTCAAACCTAGAATTCATTAAAAGCCTACATGACATATTAACTTGGGTCTCTCAAAGATATCCAAAACTCATCAAGTCCAAAATCAACTCAAAATTTTTCTTCCAAACTTGGTCTTTTTCTAGCATCTCCTATCTCAGTGAATGGCATATAGATCTGGACTCCTCCACAAGCTAAAGACTAGACATTTGAACATATTCTTCACCTATATCATCCATTACAAACCTACCATCAAGACCTGTCAAATTTCCCTTTTAATTAGCTCTTTAGTCTTCTCTACTAGTATCTCCACTGTCACCACCCAAGACTAAAGTACCATTGTCTCTTAAATGAAATTACCTCCTAATGCATTCTAAGTTTCATTATAAAACTATTCCCTATATTGAAATTAGAGAAATATTTTAATACAGAAATCTGAAATTTCCACTCATCTGCTTAAAATATGTTATTGGTTTTTTATTGTTGATAGAATAAAACAGAAGCTTTAATTTGAGCAATATTAGATCACGAGAGGCCTGGTGCATGAATTCATGCATGAGTAGGATCCCTAGGCCTGGCTAGCAATCCGGTCCCTAGGCCTGGCCAGCAATCAGGGGTGATTGGGGCTGTCTCACCCAATCCTGATCAGGGCTGGGCCGATCAGGACCAGGCCAATCAGGGCCTGCTGGCTGGGGGGTAGGACCGAAGGGAGAGACTGTGAGAGGTTGGCCAGCTGGCCCCAATCAGGGCAGATCAGGGCTGGCTGGCCACGGGGAGGGACCATGGGAGGTTGGCTGTGGGAGCACACTGACCACCAGGGGCAGCTCCTGCATTGAGTGTCTGCCCCTTGGTGGGCAGTGTGCGTCATAGCAACTGGTTGACTGGTTGACTGGTCGTTCTGGTCATTCTGTCCATTGGGTGGGGTTTTTTTCATCACTATAGGTACAGTGAATAAGTAGATTCCTTCATAGGTGCTCCTGGTTCAATGAATAAATTACTTAGTAAGTAAGTAAATGAGTGAATAAATACAAGGTGATATATCCTTTAACTCCTTACTCATTTTCAAATCTCATCTGATACCCCTCTATCTCTTGCCTCCTGAACTCCAGCCACACTGTTCTTTCAACTCTTCAAATACAACTTGCATTTCTGATCCCATTTCTCCCAAAGACTGTGCATCCTATGCTTCTACACATGCACCCACATACTTTCTACACATCCTTTCCATCTCAGTTCAAATATTCTCTTCTCTGGGAGATTTTTTCTAACCCTCTCCAGACAACATCAAAATCTCCTATTTTATGTTTCTACTAGAGGCCCGGTGCACAAATTCGTGCACAGTGGAGTCCCTAGGCCTAGCGGGTGATCAGGGCCAATCAGGGCCATCTCGCCCAGTCCTGATTGGGGCTGCACCAATTGGGACCGGGGCAGTCAGGGTCTGCCAACCTGGGAGAGGAATGGGGGGAGGGAATGCGGGAGGTTGGCTGTAGGTGCGCACTGACCACCAGAGGGCAGGTCCTGCATTGAGCATCTGCCCCTGGTGGTCAGTGTGCGTCATAGGGACTGGTTACTCTGGTCGTTCGGTCGTAACAGTCACTTAGGCTTTTTTATATATAGATAGAATTTTGCTTTACCCTCACAATTTATAGTTATACATGTGTGTGATAATTTGGTTAAATACATTTCCCCCCAAGTCCAATTAGACATTTCATGCCATGAAAGTAGGGGCCATTGGCACATTGTTTGGCATTAAGTGGTGCCCAAAAATATTTGTAGGATGAATTCATTGCTAGTCCTATGAGCAGAGTGATAAAGTGATACAAAATAAAATATCCTAAATCAGCCTGAGGGGGAAAAAAGGAAAGCCTTTCTAAAGTTGCTAGCACCTTAGTTGAGTTTTGATGGATGTGGAAGACATAACTGTAGGTTGAATATTTCAGGTAGTATATGAAATGGATTGTGTAAAGGCATGGCAATTAATTGGAGAAAAACTTTGGAGGGAAATTCTATGTAATATTTAATCTGGCTGGAGCCAAGAAGATGGTTAGTTGAAACAAAGACCAGAAAATGGAGTTTTATAAAAAGAGAGAAAGTCAGATCATGAAGGACCTTTGCTATGCTAAAGATTTTAGAATTAATTTTATAGATAAAGAGAAGACAAAAATATTTCTACTAGAGAGAGATATGACTAGATAGGGGCTATGGGAATATGATTCTGGATGCAATGTTATGGATGGATTTGGTTAAAAAGAGAGCAGAAGCAGAAAGAAAGGATGATACAATAGTCCAGATGGGAAATAGTAAGCATCTGAACAAAGACTGAAGCACTGAGAATGGAAAGAAGGGGCATATTTCAATGGTTAGGTAGACAGAGAATTCAGTGACACATCAGTTATGAAAGAGATAGAAGGTGAGAAGCCCAGAGTGATGCCCTGTTTTCCTACTTGAATAAGTAAATAAAACCACTAAGATTAAACAGGCAAATAGCATGTCTAATGCTCATGAGTTTATGTCAAAGCTGAGTTGTTTACAATCTCCACATAGAGATTTATCTTGGGCTGTCGGAAATGAAGAATTTGAACAAATTAGTAGGATCCTGGTTTAAGGTAAAAATTGAAAGAGCATCAGTACATAGCTGATGGAGTCAGAAAATCATAAGGCTGAGATTGAAACCCTGGAAAACAGCAACCTTAAAATTTCAAAAAAGAGAAACAGAGAGACATAGACAGAGAGTCTGGAAAAGCATGAAGAAAATTAGAAGAATATGGTAACCTAGAAACATTGAGGGGAAAATTACTAGGAGTGAATGACCAACTTTTCAGTTAAACAGAAGCTCAGGATAACATGAGAATAAGAATAGCTAATATATTTTTTTATCCTCACCCCAAGGATATTTTTAATTGATAATTTTTAGAGAGAGAGAAAGAGGAAGAGAGAAATACATATTTCAATGTAAGAGAGAAACATTGATTGGTTGCCTCCCATATGCTCCCCAACCCAGGATCAAACCCACAACCTAGGTATGTGCCCTGACCAGAAATAGAACCACCAACCCTTCAGTGTACAAGACAATGCTCCAACCAATTGAGCCACCCAGTCAGGGCTGGAAAGCTATTAATTTTTATTAAAAGGTTGTAATTAGTAACCTGGACTTCATTAGACTGGTGACAATAGAAGTGTAAATAGGGAAGTTGGA